AATAATGTCATGCAAATATATTTGACAACTCAGTTGAAATGCACAAATTTATTTTTTTAAGTGTATTTATTTATTTTAAGAGAGAGAGAAAGCAGGAGAGGGGCAGCGAGACGAGAGAGAGAGAATCCTAAGCAGGTTCCCTCCTGTCAGTGCAGAGTGGGGCTCAGTCCCACTCACGGTGAGATCATGACCTGAGGTGAAATCAACTGAGTCACTCAGGTGCTCTGAAATGCACAAATTTCTTAAAAGTCACAGCTTGTCAAAATTTGTACAAGAAATAGAAAATTTGAATAGTCTATATTTATTAAAGTTGTTGAATTCATAATCTAAAACTTTCCCACAAAGAAACCCCCAACCCCGATGGTGTCACTGGTGAATTCTACCAAACATTTAAGAATAAAATAATATCAATCCTTAGCACTTTCAGAACATAAAGAAGGAGAACACTTCTTAAAACTCGTTTTCAAAAGCAAGGCATACCCTCATTCTAAACCTGAACAAAGATATTACAAGAAAACAAAAATACAGAACAATATCATGTATGAACACAGATATAAAAATTCTTTAAAATACATTAACTGAATCCAGCAATGTATAAAACAAATAATACATTGCACACAAGTATCCTGAGGACATAAGGTTTGTTTTAACATCACAATGCCAACCAATATAATTGACTACATTAATAAAGGGGAACATTTATATAGTCATCTCCTCCGATCTTCCTTGCATTTATATAATGGAAGAAAATCACTTGATAAAATTCAACATCTGTTTCTGATAGAAACTCTCAAAAACTAGGAATAGGGGGAAATTCCCTCAGTCTGATAAAGAACATCTACAAAAAAAAAAAAAAAATCATACCTAATGGTGAAAGACTGAGTGCTTTCCTACTGTGATCAGGAACAAGGAAGGTGGCTCTCATCACTTTTACTCAAAATGGTATTGGAGGTCCGAGTCTCCAGAAATAAAGCAAGAAAAAAAAATGAATTCAGGTAAGAAAGGAAGAAACAGAGCTTTCTGTTTTCACATGTGACGTAATTCTGTATGTAGAAAATCCTAAGACATTTACAAATCAAAACCAAAACCCAACAAAAACCAACAACCCAACCCCCAAACTATGAATAAGTGAATTAATAAGGCTATAGGACACAAAATAATGTACAAAAAATGTATTCCTATATACTAGCAAAAAAAAAAAAATTAGAAAAATGAAACCTAACATACAATATCATTTGCAAGTGTTGGAAAACAAAGTAGGTAAGAATAAGTGCAAAATATCTATGCTCCAGGACACACAATATTGCTGAGAGAAATTAAGGAAGACCTCAAAAAATGGGTAGGTATACCATGTTCATGGATTTGAAGGTATCAATTCTCTTCATGTTGCTCTAGGCGATCAATCTAATTAAACATCAAGCATCATGTTCTGCTGCTTTTGCTTTCTAAATGTACCTCAACAGTGACCTCTTCTCTCTGCCTCTCCTACCTCCCTTCTGGACAGGACACCATCATCTGTCTCTTGATGTCTGCAACAGCCTTCTATTTGGTCCCCTCCCCATCTAGAGACTTCGACCAGAGAGAGAAGTCACATATACACCTATCAGGTCCTGCTTAAAAACTGTGTAGTGGCTCCTTACTACCCAGGATGTAAGACCCAAGCTCCTTAAATGGACCTCAAGACCCTTACCTACTTTTCCAGCCTTAGCTCCTGCCACAGGTGCTGAGCCTACTTGCCACACTGCAGGCACAGAGAGCTTCTTTCCATTTCCTGAGGCTGCTCAACTCCTCTGCCAGCCCCTGCTTGCCCTGCACTGCTGACCCCAGGCTGATCAAGGGCCACCCCTACACATCAATGCATCATCTATCCCTCATCATCAGGACCGTCCAGATGATCTGTGTGCAGACAGTCCTCAAGGGCAGGGTACTGGGCATCTGAGCCCCATCCACAGCACCCCACACACACTCACAGAGGGACTTCAGAATGAAGGGACAGGGGATCAGGGTAGTGGAGAGGGATGTGTTGGTGCTGGTGGGTCTTCTCAATAGGCCTTGGGGGATGAGGGATGAGACCACATCAGTCAGATCGCCCGCGCGCGTGCGCACACACACACACACACACACACACACACACGTCATGGTGCCCCAGCGTCACACCTGCCCAGGCACCAGGAACCCACAAGGGACTAGGACTGGCCCCTGATAGAGCAGCCAGCCCAGTCCAAGCCAAAGCTGTTTCCTGATCCATCAGCCTCCCCTCTTGGGTGATTTGTGAAGGGACAGGCAGCTGAGGATGTGTATGGCCTGAGCCCCAGCCCTGGAGGGGAGGTGCTTTAGGGAACCAAGCATAAGCATGGTCCTGACTAAAACTCCATGGTCTGAGTTCCCCAGGACGCTGAGTGAGCCGGCTCCCAGGCCAGACTGTCCTGTCTGTGCAGAAACAGCCTGTGCTTGCTGGGAACCAGAGGAACAGCCAGAGGGTCCCAGCCAGTGCCCTGCATCTGAGGTCCCCTGGGGAGGGACGGGGCCCCAGAGCCGCTGAGTTGAGTACTCCTGGGTGCTGGAAGGCCCAGCCTGCCCCTTAAAGTTCATCCTCAAAACCAGCAACGACCCTCTCCTTGATGGAGCAGCCACGTCCAAGGCCTTGTGTTGGGGTCCAAAAAGCCCCCAGAGTGTCCCTAGGGAAAAATGACTCTCCCATTCCTTTCAAAAGGCAGCATCTCTAGCTTAAATCTGTTAAATATTACAGGAGAAAAAAAAATCTAGTAAAACCAAATGATGCAGACATGGGACACTGAGTGAGAAAAAAATGATTATTAATGGAGACAGAGACAGAGAGGAAAGAGGCTGGAGCATCTGACAACCTTGGCCCCGTCTGGCTGGCCCTGTCCCGTTCACTCCAGCTCTGTCCTTCCTCTCACCCCGGAAGCCCAGACCCAGCCAGGCCCTCTCCCTGACTACCGCTCTGAGGACACCAGGATCTTGATACTCACCCCAGGTCCCCTGCGGCCCCCAAGGCTGACCCAGGCCCAGGGGAAGGAGGGCAGGCGAGGACAACGAGGGCAGACCCAGGGCCAGGACTGGGTAGGACACGGCTCCCATGGAGAAGGCACGGTCCACCTGCCCCAAGCAGGAAGTGGAAACGAGAAACCAAACAGGTGGTGTGGGGCAAAGTCTGCTGGGAAGGCCCGAAAAGGTGGCGTTCCCACATGCACACACCCAGACCTGCCCGTCAGGGGTCTGCCAGGGCCCCCGGACACAGGAGGGAGGCCCTTCACCCGGGTAGTCCCCCACCGGCCCGTCCACAGAACCAGGCCTCCAGGGCGTGGCTGGTTGCTGCTGCCCAGCTCCCCGGGGCCACAGGCTGGGTCCGAGGCGGGGCTCAGGTCAATACAGAGGACGGGTGAGACAGCAGCGCACCGGCCCGGACCCCGTGGGGTCTGTGGTCTGCAGCCCCCCCAGCTCACACCGGGCTGGGTGGGGGGCCAACGTCAGGTGGCTGACGGAGACTGGAAGTCGCCCGTGCATCGGGTCCTCCTGTGGGGTGGGAGCGGGTAAGAGCCCTCTTTCAGTCACTCTTGTCCTCAGCAGAATGAGCCCCGCTGGTGCCCACCCCACAGGCCCTTCCAGGCCAAGGACTCCAGGGCAGACACGGGGGCACACTGAGTATGGCCAGGGCTCAGACACGTGTTCAGCAAGGACATCGAAGCCCAGAGAACACAAGCTACTTCTGGAGCTCACTCGGTCAGAGGGAGGCGGCCACGCCCAGGACAGCCGGGCCTGCCTGCCTGTTGAGGATGCCCTGGGGGTGAGGTCTCCTTCAGCTCTGCCTCCCACGAAGGAACCATGCGAAGGAACCACAAGCTGGCACAGGCCCAGGGGGCTGGCGGCCAGGAGGGCGTGAGCCTCCTCTGGTGCGGGGGCCACGGCCCGTGCCCCACAGGCCCAGCCGTGTCCTGGAAGTCCAGTTAGTGTCTGGCTGCCTCTGCCAGGCTGCCTCTCCATCCGTGGCACCTCCAGATCCTGGAGCCCCTCCGTCCTCCACTCGACCCCAGAGAACTGGTCACCGCGAGGGGTCTTGCTCACACGTGAAGGGGCGTGGGGCAGCGAGGTCTTCCTCGGGCCTGTGTTGCGGCCCCCAGCCCTCCTTTGGAAGGTGAGGACGGCGACGCCACGGCGCTGGCCAGTCAGGGAAGCAGCGGGGGTGGGGAGAGAGGCCCGGCCTAGACCAGGGCTGACTGCGTCCAACCGGTCAGAGGCCCGGGGCCCCAGGGGACGCCTCCTCCCACGTCAAGAGCGAACGACTGCATCTGGCACCTCCAAACGGAAGGGAGGCCGAGGCCGAGAGTCCCTCCGGACGCCCAGGTGGGGTAAGGCCCAGCAGGGACAGGGCGGACGACGTGGCCGGCACCAAGGTGCTGCCCTGGGCTGCTCCCTCCTGCTCACGTCACGGGGCGGGCACCCACGGCCCCTCCACGACCCTCCAGGCTCCCACCACCCACTGCGTCCTCAAGCAGCCTGCCCGCCTCACAGGCCAGCAGGGCCCCGAGGGAGCGCAGGGCCCGGGTCTTCCCCTGCTCCTCAGGGAGAGCGGACTCGGCCTGCGGCTCCCCGAGACGAGGCTCCGCAAACCGCTCAGTACTCACGTTTATTCATAAAGTTTCTTCCTAAAAACGTCTGCCGTAATAACTAGTTCTAAACAAGATTTGTCCTGATACGCTCTTGTCCCCTGTGAGGCCTCTCTCCGGAGCCAGGGACAGATGCCGCCGAGGGTCTCTGGGAGGCTCTCCGGCCTCAGCGCCATGGAACAAGGACGCCCGATGCAGCGGTTTTTGCTTTTCCGAGGCACCTGCTTCGCCCCACGGCCACCTCCCTGCAGGACCCGCGGGCACGTGCAGCCATCCGACTCGGGGCTGTGAGCCACAGCACGGAGGCTGGTGGCACCGTGGGAGGGGGCCTCTCACCCCCCAGTCACCGGAGCCGACACGGGGGTCACCCAGTTAGGTTTTCATAACTGCCATGAAGGAGGCCTGCAGGACGAGAGACGGCGAGGTCTGAGCAGGGCCGCCCTCCTCCGAGCAGCACTGCCAGGGGCTGGGACTGCAGCCCCGGGCTCTCGGTTGCTGAGGGGCTCTGCCTGGTGGCCCCCATGTTCACACACCGGTGTGCCGGTGTCCCCGGGCACAGCCTGGCCTGCAGCCTGGCCTCCGGGAGGAAGCTGGGGTAATTCAGACCCCAGGGCGCCAGGCGGCCTCAAGGCAGAGTAATGGGGTGGCCCTCTGCCCTAGGCCCCACACGTACCTCCTGGAGAAGCTGCCCCAGCCTTTCCTGGCTGTGAATGGAGCGCCTGCGGGAGAGAAGACACGGTCGGCCTCCTGGCCCCCAGCTCGAGAGCAGCCACGCTCCCCCCCAGACTCCCAGGCAAGGAGGGGTCCCAAGGCTCACGCCCTGCCCGCTGCTGCTCTGCGGGGACAGACAAGCGCTGGGGCGAGCAGGGCAGGCGGGAGAGAACAGGCAGGTGAATACTAAGACACCGAGGGCCACCCCCAGCCCCGGAGCCCCACCTGTCTATTCTGGTGGCGATGGTCACCGTGAAGGCCCCTTCTGTGTCTGGCAGGTAGGTGGAGGGCACAATCCTGTAGGTCCCCGCCGACAGGTGGCAGAGCCGGCTCACTTCCTGGGCGTAGCAGTGTGGCACACAGCTTAGCAGAGGGTCCTGGAGCAGCAGGCGGGACGCGCCCTGGCTCCCGCCATCCACCGGAACCTGGCGGAGGCGTGGGCTCAGACGGGGTCGAGGGGTGGGGCTGTCCGCTGGGCTGCCACGGCCACCAAGTCCTTCCCAGTCTCGGGACTGCACTCCCTTTCCGAGGCCGGGGTGTCCAGGGTGGGGAGGCGCCCGGTGCAGTCTGCCCGGATCTCACATCTCCCACGTCACACTCCCTTTTCCAGGGAAGAAGGGCCACCAAGCTGGAGAAGCTGGGCTCACACTCACCGAGGCCCCACCGCCCTTGTCAGGCGGGCGGCCCCATCAGGCGTGGGGGACCGCCATGACCACCACTGCCCAGGCCTCTGTCCTGAGGGTCGTCTGACCGGCTCCTGGCACTGGCACTTGTATCGAAGCTCCTGGGTGCCCCGGCTGGCAGCCCGGGGGCAGCGAAGCTCCAGAATGAGCCCTCAGCTCTTGGGGAGCACAGTGTCCTCCCAAGGGTACAGAAGCTTCTCAACCAGAGAAATTCCCACCCTTCCTTCACATCATCTGCACCCCGGGCTCTGTGTGCCCACCCCACGACGGCGCCCAGGGCACGGCTCCAGGCTGCCCTCCTGGCCCATGCCCTCCTCGGCACCCAGCATGAAGCGGGGCCCCCAGGAGGGGCACAAATGTGAGCTGGGAGCCACTTCATCCCCGTGGAGTCTGGGCTTACGACCCCTGACCTCCGGCATCGCACTTGTCCCCCTTCCTCCAACTACAGGTCTGCTGGGCTTGTCCCGGCTGCGTTACAACACAGGGCGGGCAGACTGAGGTGGAGGGAGGTTTGGGGTGGCGTCTGTGACGTGCTGGCCCTACTCCGGCCTCAACACAGCCTCCTCTCCTCCCGCGGGGGGACAGCTCTCTGCTCTGAGAATCACCTGAGCAACTGCGATCGGGGGCATCTGTCTGCCAGGCCCTCACGCTGGCTCTGTGGGCGGGTGGGCTCCCTTTCCTGTTCTTCCCCGCGAACCTGTGCCATGAACTGCGTCATGGCTTCGGGGCGGCTCCTGGCGGACCGCCTTTCCTGGGGCACGCCGTCGGGTCTCCTGGGCGGGAGGCACGGTTCTAGGGAGCAGACCTGACCTCGTGACGCTTGTTCTGAGCCAGGGTTCTAAGCTGACCTACGACCCCAGTGAATTACAGACTTCACGAAACCCAGAAACGGATCTTGTACGGGACCAGCCAGCCTGGCTGTGCCCACGTGACCGCGTCCGGGCCTCTCTGTCCGGCCTGGCCGCCTGTGTGGACCAGCCCCCCCCGAGGGCCGCCCTGTGCCCGCCTACCCCCAGGGACAGGAAGGGCTTGCCTGGAAGACGTGGAAGCCGATGGGGTGGCACTCGCTGTCACGGCAGTGTTGGCGCAGAGTGATTCGGATGCAGCGGGGCCCTGTGCCCTCGGGGACCGAGAGGGGGAAGCAAGGGTTGGTAGGGTAGGAGGCGAAGTTCCTGCTGCCCCCCGCCGTCTGGCCGATTCTCCAAGAGCCCCGCAGCTGCACGGTCTCCCACTCCCCTGCGGGCAGGGCCTCCCCGGAGGCAGGGCTCGCGGTCGCCGGCTTGATGGCACTGCCCGGGGGAGACACACAGGAGGACCCGGCTGTCACGGGCCGCAGACGCACACAGACCGCCAGGAAGCTGCCTGGGCCGCTCTCCCCCTTCCTCCACTGAGGCCCTCGAGGGAGCGCGGCCTGGAGACCCCACTTGCCCCTCTCACCTGAGGGAGACTCTCCCACTGGAAAAGACCCGGAGCAGAAACTGCCCCGGCACGTCCTTCAGGAAGGTGCTGGGGACGGCCAGGTAGTAGCCGGGGCCGAGTTCACAGCGGAGGTGGACCTCCCGGTCGTAGGCGTGGCACACAGTGCCAGCCACGGGGGGCGTGGACAGGACCCTGGGCAGGCTGACCCGCCGCTTCTCCACCTGCAGAGAGGGGGCCCGCGTGCCAACGTCCCGAGACCGGCCTGCCGCCTTCACCCGGCACAAAGAAACCGCCCGGACCTGTGGGCCCCGCCCCAGCACGGCAGGGGACGGCTCAAAGCGCCCACCAACCCAGGGCTCTCACTCGGCCCCAGGGGTCAGGGGCCCCGTCCCAGATGTCAAGCCCTCCCGCTCTGGGGAGAGCAGAGGGGATCGAGACAGGGCTCTGGGGAGAGCAGAGGGGATCGAGACAGGGCTGTGCCCTGGTCCCTCCGGCCGGTTCCGCCACCGGCTGCTTTTCTTTTCGTTTCCCTTTGTCTGACGGATGCCGGCTGGGTTAGGCGGGGCCGGGTCTGTGGGAGCGCCAGCTGGTGTATGACCCTGGGGTAGGCGGGGGACACCTGAGGCTCCTGGCGGTCACCGGTGTCACTCTTGTCCTAGCGCCCCTAGGCCCTGAGCAGGGAGCCGGGACCAAGGTAGAATTACCTTCCAGATATGCAGGCCCACGGCCTGGTAGTCCTTGCCCAGGAGGCTGGCCGGGGTCCATGAGGCGCGGTCGTCCCTCAACGGTGCCCGAGCCCGGCCTGCCCAGTTTGCCGTGCGCACCCTGGGTCTCTGCAGGACGGTAACATACACCTCACTTGGTTCCGAGACCCGCAGCCAGAATTTGGGGTTGCTGGGAAAGCCGCTGTTGTTCCGACAGCCTCCTGCAGACTGCCCCTTGACCCAGGCCCCCGGTAGCTCCTGAGTGTGGCACAGCTCCTTTTCTAGACGGAGAACCAAGCATCGGCTCCAGGAAAGGGCTCCCACGCCTCCTTTCCTGCCCCTCTCACCAACACCAGCCACGGCACCCTATAGGAGGGAGCCCCGTGTCTCCCAGCACCTTGAGCTGCCAGGGACGGGAGGAAGTGGAACCATCTCTCTGCACTGAAGGAAGTAGATTGGGGCCTGTAGCCAGGCTGGTGCCCAGGGGCCCCCAGAGGGACGCGGGCTCCGCTCAGCCCTGACTTCCGAAGGCAGAGCCCATGCGGCTTGCCCCCCCCCCCCCCACCAGGCCTCCCCCAGGGTGAGCGTGCGGGCTTCCCCCAGCGTGCGGGCCTCCCCTTACCTGAGTAGAGGCTCTGTAGGTGTCCAGCCTCCGTGATCGGGAAGCCCACGGTGACCTCATCAAACTCCTGGAGGAACTCCTCCTCTTCCACCCAGAACTCCCCTTCCTGCAGCTGGGACAGCAGTGTAGCCTCATCCGCCGGGTCCACCCGGCTCCACCCTTCGCCCCTGGAAGACACTGCACTTCAGAGGGGCCTCTCATCCGAGAGCGGACGACACTGACCGAGGAGCCCTGTGCCCTGCCAGCTCGGGTGGCTCCACGCTGGCCCTTCCGCAGCCAGTCACCTCTGTCCTTCCCCGAGGGCCCCCGTCTCTAGACACATCTCCCCAGAGCGGTGTCCTCGAGCAGGTGAACGAGAGATGTGCTTGATCGACTCGGGTGGAGCTGCCACCAGCCTGGGCTCGGGGGCAAGCGTCGGATCTGCTGACCGGCCACGGCCGGCCACGGGGAGCGGGTCCAGCACCCTCATTCAATCCAGGTTCCCAGCACCAGTGAAGGTCAGAAAGCTGAGCACTCACATGTCCCTGTCACCCGCAGCCCGATGGGGCACCTACCATTCCACGGGCACCCTCGAGACGGGACCCCAGGGTCTAGGGTTGCCTTGGTCCCGGCACCATGCACGACACTGGCCTCCTAAGGTTGTCTGGGGCCGAGCACAGGACTCAGGGGACCAGAGGTGGTGCCAGGAGGGCCTTGCTGGAGACCAACCATGCACCGTCCTGACCAGCTACGAACGGTCTGCCACGAGCCACGGCACCAGAGCCCGGGACACACACGGTTGTGACACACACAGCTCTGAGTTGCCACTCGGGGCCCCACCCTCCCGGCCTGCCTGACGGCAGTACAGTTCTGGCCTCGCCCATACTCACCCCTCTCTCCAGGGCCCCTGCCAGCACCGCCGGCCCCAGGGGTTCTGAATGCGCAGCAGCAGGATGGCCTGGCCAGTCCGCCCCCGGAGCTCTCGCAGATCCGACACAATGAAGGCATGAAACTCCCCCAACTCCCTGGCACCTGGGAGAGACACAGCTGGGATGTGGGCAGGGAGTCCCCAAGCCGAGCAGACCCACGGGTCTGTCTCCTTCCCCGCGGGCTGCTCCAGCCCACCCTGCTGCGGCCACACCAGCACCCAGATCCCCACGGACTAGTGGGGCTCCTTTCCCGACCCTGTGGACAAGCGAGCTTAGGAGTGGCCTTCGCCACGGCAGAGCCACGGCGAAGGACCCAGGTCTGGACTCTGGCTCCGCGGCCACAGGCCCGGCAGCTCATTCCCTTCTCGGTGGCTCGGTCCTTGCCTGGGCGGACGAGAGAGGATGGCCGGCCGGCCGACCGACAAGGGGCACAGGGCCCCTGGTGCCGCCACCAGCACTGTCAGTGGCAGGTCTGTGACCTCCCGGCGAGGCTGGCTCGGGTGGCATCGCACAGCAGGTACTGCTGGAGGAAACACGTGGTGTGGGGCGGGGGGACCGGAGGCTCCAGAGAGGAAACCACCCCATTTGCCCAGAGCCCTTGGGACAAACAGACATGCAAAAGGAGGGGCCGAAGAGTGAAGGAACTCCAACCTGGGAAGGGGGGTGGCAGTCCAGAAAGGAGAAGAAACCCCAGGAATGTCTTGAAAAGCTTTATTTACAACGGCATTATAGCCTCCACTCTCGGGGTCTGCCTCAGTCCTCAGCCCTGAGACGCTCCAGGGGATCCCGATGACCTCCCACAGCCCCCTCTTTGCCTAGGGGCTTCTGCAAAGCCTGGAGCGCCAAGAACTGACCCCGCCCACCCTGGGGGCAGCTGATGCCAAGACTCAGGGAAGGTTCTAACGCTGTGTCACGCGCAGGCTTCCGCGGGCTTCCCTCATTTCCTGCACGCGGCGGGGGGGCGGGG